CAACAGATTCCACAAAGTAATCAGCCCAGTTCATACCAAAACCACCAGCAACACCCAGATACATGTCATAAATAAACCAAGAGAAGCAGCTGCCGGAAGCGAAATGAGCGAGAGCAGCTCGATGTCAATAATATGCTGCAAAGCAGCCTTTGCGAAAGAGCTCGTCCCTCACATTCTGAAGCGTACTAAGTTGCCCCCTGTGCAAATGTAGAATAGCTTTTTTTTTCACGGTCTTCTCTTTTTACTGCCGTGTCCACATCAACTCCTGGGCCTAAATCCATAGCTTCCCGATTTTATAATACTACAATTTTTGATGACTTTTCTGAAAGAAAAGATATGCGCCAGTGCGCTGCCCAAACAGCATATCCTAAATAAATAAACAACAGCGCGTACCAGAACAGCCGGTGCAACCATGCGTTTTGTGCGATTCCGTACACCAAACGATTGCTCGTTAATGATTTTCACTGCCCTGCACTTTAGTCTGTGAAAAAATAGCTGGGACGCTGGAAAATATTCAAAAATTTTACGGACCGACACGTGAAAGCTGGATTTGAAACCTCGAAGGGTGAATATTCTTTCCAAATCTTAATCTCCTAATTTCCTGGATTTCGAATGATCACTGAGATAAAAACTTCACGCGATCGTACGTGAGACCTCGGCATACTTAGAAACCGAACTCGAGTTTGTGAAGCCCATGCTTAGACAGGAAACATTCTCCTGAAATTTCCAACATCCTAGCATTTCTATCTCCCGAGATAATGATTTTTCTCACCAACAGGGACGTTAAAAATTTGCGGAGTTGCACGTGGGCAAAGGATCCCACACTAAAATTTCAGTTTCCTAGATTCCGTGGTTCTCGAGACAATAATTTACCGGCAAAAATTTCCACGAGGCCGTAGGTGATACTCGAGAGAATGGGAACGCTGAATTTGAGTTTGTAAAATCGCGCGTGAGCAGGGGGTTCTTACCCTAAAATTTCAGCTTCGTAGATTTCGTGATTCCCGAGATAATAATTTGCCCGCCGAAATTTTCACGGGACCGTTCGTGTTACCCGCAGGCAGGAGAAGGCTCAATTTAAATTTTCTGGGTCGCATATGGGCAGGGGACATGTCCACAGATTTTCAGCCTTCTAGCTTCCGGGGTTCCCCTGATAATTTAACCCGACAAAACTTCCACGGGGCCGCACCTACGAGCAGGAGATGACTGAATTTAAATTTTCTGAGTAGCACGTGGGCAGACGACATGCCAACGAAATTTCAGCCTTCTAGTTTTCGTGGTTCCTGTGATAATAAATTTACCCGCCCAAACTTTTACAGGGCCGTACGTGTTACCCGCGGGTACGGGGAGCCTGAATTTAAATTTGCGGGGTCACACGTGGATGAGGAACGTACCCCTAAATTTCCAGCTTCCTAACTTTTTTTGTTCCCGAGTTGGAAGTTGCGGACAAGTTGCTGTGGACACAGACGCGGACATACACACACGCACATACACACACAGAGATAACCCTGCGACAAGAGCACTTTGTACTGCTGTTACACAGCACAAAACGCATAAAAACTATCAACAAAAATTTTCACATTTTCATACTTAGTGTCTGTAAATTAGCAAAACCTATTTTCTTTCAAAAATCTCTGGCCATGATTCAAACAATGAGCACCACCATACCGAGTAACTTATTCCTTTTTTAAGCAGAAATATTGCAGAAAGAACCAATAAGTAACAAGCCTGAAAAGGGTATCCACCGGGATGGTACCAAACCAAATTTTGAGATTCGTCCTGAAGTTTGAACCCGTGAGGTCGACGCGAGCAAGGTCACCTTCACCATACAACTCCATGCCACTGACAACTGGTACTGGAGTTACCGGCTCACGTACCGGTCCCATTGCTTCATAAAAACGATATTCTGCCTTCAAAAGAAAATAACGATTAACAAATTTATGGGAATAACAATATGCCGTAACAACAGAAGCACATCAGTACCTACTCGGCTCAAAAAATTACCAAGACTGAATCGAGAGCAATTAATCCTAACTGAAAAGCAGTATGGAATACTTTCGCAGAGGAGCGATTTCATTCCTGTTTGAAAACGGTCTAGGACTTCTGGCAAGCCCACAAGACGCCGTTCAGCATTTGTCCAGTTATATGGGGCGGGATGAATTCCCGAGAAACTTGCCTTCTCAGTGGAAATAATTGTCCATGATGCACCATCACTAATCTGATGTCGATTCTCGTCCACTGGCACCGCCTAAAAACAACCGAATCGCCTTTCGATGAGAACTGTCCAAATCAGACACAAACACGAGGAAATAATATTGACATCAGGTAACAGAAAATTCATCAAAAATTCATCACACAAGGAACACTGATCATTACTTAATTCGAAGTGCTGGCCATGAAAATTACAAACAGTAGATCAGAAAACAGAAAAACATCTTAAATCAGGAAATAAAGGCACTCTCGGCTAAGTGATTTTACAAAATTTCAACTATTTTGGAACCAAACCATGATAACAAATACGATTTATAGGGGATTAGGTGAGAAGAGATATGCAGCTCGCGATCGAACGGCGTGACACAGCTGCACCAGGCTACAAGGGTATACCAGTAACACCACTAACGTAAGACTCATAAACTGACTGCCCGAGTGGTTATTTCTGGATTTTGTTTATGAAATGCTCGGCTTTTATGAATTTGAAAGTACAAATACTCTTGATTACAACTCGTAGTTCGATCAAAAGAAAACTTTTTCGTATAACACCCTTGATGAACATATCAATTCACCAACTGCTTAGAAGTAGTTAACACTGAATTTGGGGCGCTTTTAGTACCGGGTGGTAAGAGTGGCCCAAGAAAGACTTTACCCAAACTATCTGAACTACCGATGTGACGCATTCGGGCGCCACGTCAGGTCCTCTTGACATGAACTGCAAGCTTTCAAGAAAGTTTAGAAGCACCAGAAGCTAAAATACAAAAAAAGAAAAAAAAATATAGAAAAAGCACCAGTTCTTAAAAGAAGAAAAATGCCAATGCTGTTGTAAATCAGAGTGTCCTCGATGACTAACAAAATCGCACAAAACCCAACCTGGTGCTGAATTATTTTGTCGTGTGAAAGGCAAAGGTAAACCGTGTCCGACTCAACCATCTGAAACGCGCACTTATGCAGTTGACTTACTGGTTCTTCACTCGCCGACGCATCCAGAATAACATGCTGCTTATCCACTTTACGAATTCTCTGGAATAAAAAAAACCACAAAAATCAGAAACTTCGAAGCCTAAA